AGTGCTCGTTTTCATCGCAGGCGGACGTCATCTTCCCCTGCTGGCAGACGTAATCCGGCTTCGACCGACGTCGGAGATTTTCGAGGATGTTCCTCAGCCAGGTATCTCCCACCAGCTGGGCACCACGCCAGCAAGGGGCGGGGAGGATAGGACAAGGAAGAGGAAGGAAAGATCGCCCACTGTCCGTAGCCCGTCAGTTAGAGTACTGCTCCGACATTCGCCTGGTGTAGATTGGAGAAACCTCAGAAAACCGTGAATCAGGAAATCCGACCGCTAGAAGTCTCCTCCAGGCAACGGCTGAATTCAATCTAGCTCCATGTCTGGTCGAAAATCCTGCCACCGTCGGGTCTCGAACCCTAGGTCAGAGGTTCTGTAGTGGCATCAATGGATGCACTGAGCCACCTAAGCCGGTAGGGACGGTATGGGATTATGTTTAGTGCTGGGGCTGCTCAGTTGCCCCGGCACAGCCCTTAAGAGCAGGCCACCGGCGTGGCCTGCTTCTTCTTGAGTCAGGGGCGTGAAGCGCTCGGGCGCGATTGCTCTAGCCTAGTGAGAGGGCTGGCATTTCGTATTCGCGGGCACGTTAAGTACAATGGTCTTTGAACCCGTGAGTGCAGTGAATGTCATAGCCGAGGGCTGACAATGTTGCTGGAACATCAAATCCTCCGCATAGATACGCGGGAACATACAGTTTTCCTCTTCAGGTATCTCCCCCAGCTAGGCACCGCACCAGCTGAGGCAAGCTCTAGGATTTAAACGCCTTCCAAAGTTGTATTGTGGTCTCGTTCACGCAGTGTGGGGCACGCAAGTGTATATGTGTTTAAAGCTAAATGTCCCCGGCTACAAGTCCCCGGCTGTAGATAATATTCCAATCGAACTAATCAAAGATACAGGGGAAGAAATCTTGGCGAAACTGACACAATTATGCAATGTGATCTGCAAAAGAAAAGTGTGACCAACAGATTTGCAACACACTATAATTACTCCATTATCAAAGAAAGGGGACAGCCGAGATTGTGCAAATAACACAATTGCATGAATATGAGTAATGCCTCAAAAAGTTTTAAGATGTTATTCGAAGAAAGACGGAAATATATGAAAAAGGTAGTTATGTACTAGTATTACAGACCGTTTACCTCGGTCTCTAATAGTAGTATAGCATTTCTAGTTTGATATCCGTGGAAAAATAGATTGAGATGCAAAGTGACGAACGCATAAACCGAGTGTGTGCTTTACGTGCCGAGCAAGTCCCGCCTGCTCCATCGGGGCTGGTCGCACGCCGCCGGGCCTGGCCGTTCCGCCGCGCCGACAGAGGGCCCACAACGGGTGGGTGGGTGACGCAACGGCGTAGAAGGGAAGGGGGGAGAGGTGTTTTCGTAAATTTCACTTTACGACGCTCCTATTCGTCCGATTTGCATGATTGTCACAGCGTTGGATTCAGGAAGCATGTCGCCATCGCGCTGTGAGGCCACATTTTTAATTTGCTTTCGGAAGTTTGAGAACTAATTTGAAATTCTCGTGTTTGCTAGATTTTTGGAAAAAGGTTATTGTAGCGTAAATTCTATTTTAAAAAGCGTCAAATGCCGTTTACAGATTGAAAATCGGATCATTGGTTCAGACGTTATCAGTGAAGTAAATTCCCCTGTGATCGTGCAGCGATCTATTGAATTTTCCTACAAGTATTTTTCGATGCATTTAGCCTTAATGGGAGAAAGGGGACACGAATGAGAAAGAAATGATCACTTGCTGTCTGGGGCCATTTTCGGTCACTTCTTCGGTATTCTGCAGGTATTGATCGGATAAAGAACGGAAAACTACCGACCAGAGCAGCCAGCCGCTGGAATTCTCTTCCTCACAGGCTCTGCATTCGGCCGGGCTCTCCCTTCGGGGCTCGATCCGGAGGCCTCTACTGAGAAGGCTGAGGATGTTGTCCTAGGCCATCTCAGCCTATTTTATTCCGGCGAATAGCGAGTGGCACGCGGGTTACTTGAGCGGGCTACCACGCACAGTCTGGCCTCAATACATTTGAGAAGCCCTGGTCTAGTCCACTTAACGTAAATTACACCTTTAAGACATAAAATCCTTTTTGGAACTCTTGTTCGCTATTACAGACGAAGACAAGATAAATGGATGAACACTCGAAAGTCGACCTACATAAGAATTCTAATTTCTCTTGGATTGCAGACAAAATGTTTTCATGAGGACATCGGTTGAAGAAGAGCGGGGGCGGAACCAGAGACACTTTTGGGGAGGGGGAGTTAAATATGCTTTGGTGGAATGTGCCATTACAGACTTTGTAAGACGTCGCAGGCTACAATCCGCTCATGCGGCGAACGATTTTATTCCTTTTAATGATTACGCGAAACCATTTTTGCCCGAAAGTTTTGACAAGTTAAAATTAACATTTACTAGAAAATTTTAGGGTGGGGGGTGGAAGTTTCCTTATTTCCCTCCCCGTGTGCCCGCGCCTGAGTACAGATTGAAATGAACGATAAACGTCAGATATTTTTTCTTCAACACACGCCGACCTACATTTATAAATTATTGTGTATCTCTAAAAGGATTGAAGACATGCAGTTTGAAGTTAATTATGTGTCATCTCAAATTTCTCAAAATTGAGAAATCATTACTACAAAAATATAGAGTTGTGGAGGTGTTTTCCGTTTCAGTCTCTTCATACATACTTTCCAAAATTTGTCGGTAAAGATGTATTAAATTTCTTTAAGTAATTAATATGTCTATAATGTTACAAAATAATGGCGTTGCAGTAACTCAAACTTCGTATTTTTCGAAATGTGATAGTGTTGCAACCCTTGAAAGATAAAAACTTCAAACATTGGAAGAGAAATAAATCTAAAAAGTTGACAAATCTTTTACATCAATGCTTCTAATGTACAGTCAGATTAAAGGTAGAAAAAATACCTTATATACTCATCCCTATTTTAGGAATTACTTTACTTTTTACGTCAATTATTTTGCCATATTCTAGAGGGAAATTTGCCAAATTAAATACATTGATTTTTTATTTCTATATCATAGTACGATTTCTCCCGCCATCCCGTCCAACACAGGTGTCACGCAGTCTTGTATCTCGCGCGCTGCAACAGGGGTCGACGGCCACAGTTCTAAGTGTCGGATGTGACGTCTCCGCAAGTCCGAGCCCGGCTGCTCAACATGCAACTTCCACACGTCCTCGGCAACACCGTCAACAGACGCCATTCCAAGTTGCCCTGCTCTGCACTCTTACTGGTCTCCTACGAGTAAAGACATTGCGGAATTAACAATTTGTCAACCAGGTATAGCTTCAAGAGGATTTTAATTCAGATGAGCTTGCCAGGCTGTATTTTGAGTTAGGCAATGTATGCAATTTATTTCTTTTCTATGCAATTTTTCGTTCCACATCACTCACATCAATCGATCTGTAGTGCTAGAACACTTGCACATAAGTCACTCAAAGTATTCATGAATTTATATTTTATTCCATACTATAATATAAATATATATTAATATTATAATGCATTCTTTATTTATATTATTTTGAACAATACGAAAAGTAGCCAATTTTAATAAGAAAGTAAGATATTTTCTGTTCGATAACGGTTTCTATACGTTCTAGATCTATACCAGACCGAGCACCAAAGAGCAAAGTAATGTTGATTTTAACAATGATATTTAATGTATTAGTTACCACCTTGAACTATATAACTATTATAGACTACATTGTAATCTGTAACAAGCATGGCACCTCAGCTTCTGGCTCAATAATCGCCAATCCATTTCGATCAATCTTTGCGTCCGGTCCTTCGAGTGAATTACCTCTCATTCTGCTTCTAGACATAAACGTAACTTTATTACCTGGGCACATCTTCTAGAGTTCAGTGAAACATGTTGTTATTCAAATTATCGTTCTTCATGTTTTGGGGCAGGGCTAAGTGTGTTGCGTGTACTTACATTTAATCATATATTCTATTATACGAGACAGATACTTTATGTACGAGAGAAAGGAATTACCTCACGAACGACAATTTTAGCAAATCAAGTATCTTTCTCGAGTAGATAAAATATTTTTTTCCGTCGTTTGTAATATTCCGTTTTAACAAATACAATTTAAAAACACACGACATATTTTACGTACGACGTGTAGTGGGCAAAACATGGTGATATTGAAGTTGAGAGAAATAATTGACATTCATTCAATGTTATTATGGTTGAAATATAAACTAATGGAAGTCGCTACGTTGCTTCTGAATCTTCAAAGTGGCACGTCCTATAATAATAACTAATAATTATTTGTCCAGCCTAAGGTATCAGTTTACCATGCTTAAAAACAAATACTGTGAACAAATAATTTTCATTGTAAAGGAGTAACACTCCCATAATCAAGGAATAAATAGGGACGCAACTGTAAATGCTTGAAACATGCAACATAAGGTATACGTGAAGATACTAATATATCCATCTCATTTTTCAAGAAGACTTGCTTTAAACATTTTGCAAGTGGAAGAATCACAATTATCAATTCATCAATGGTAAATTGGTATTCCTCATCTCTATTTCCAAGAAAACATTACTTAATCTACCTCATTTTTGCAGGGTATAATAATTTTTGTTCCTGTCTTTTTGGGGGCTGGTCTTGTGGTTTCATGTACATCAAATAGTACTGTGCATCAGTAGCTACCAAGCATTTACTGCCTCTATGCGATATACTACTATATAACGACCAAAATCGTCGTGTTTTCACGTCTTCGACGAGTCTTCAAAACTATTTCAGTCAAACACAATACAATAAAGTTGGTGACAGTTGCATCTCTACAAAAATATCCGTCAATTTTGTTACTATACCAAAATACGAATTCAAACAACGATTTTACTGATTTGAAGGGTAATTATCAATAGGACATCAGAACAAGCAATTAAAAAATAATGAAAGCAGTTGAAATATATTAAGTGCTGCTCATATGTTTACTTACTTCTCCACCCAAACCTCCTTGATTGTTTGCAAAACATCTTCGATCCTTATGGAGTCTTTACACGACGAACCTGAAAGAATCGTGAAAAGTTAGATTTTTATTAATAAAAAAATGCGATGGGAACTAAAGATAAAACTGTGAATTTGTGAATGAGTTAGATTTTTTGACATAAATATCTACACACAGCATATATGATTTGAATTATGTGGCCTACCCATTACGCGATGCATATTTAATGGAGTTCAACATATCGTGGAGTGTGACCCAAAACTCCAAATAGTTTTAAGTTATAATAATTCTTTTATAAATGTAATAACACAGTAACAATAACAACAATAATAATATTAATAATGATAATAATTATGATTATTATTATTGGCGTGCAACATAAAAATCGCTTAACAAAAAGTTGCAAACACACTGTTTAAGACCAATAAACTAAATCTTTCATGTAATATACTCAAATAGGAGTAAATTAAATATTTTAAAAGAAGCCAGCAGAAGCAAAAATGCTGCTGAACAAATTTATTCAAAATGGTTTTCCCAAATGTTGCACGCACACTGCACAAAAACAACGAATAAAGTACTCTCATATAACATTCCAATCGTCTCCTAAATTATTTCAGTAGGATACTTATCCTTTGCGGATCTCATACGCAACCTATTTTTATAATTGAGGTCTCTAAAGGAATAGAATTTCACAGGGACGTGTAGAATTGCAATTAGACATAAAAAATATGAAGGATTTGTTTTAAAAAACCCACCCAAATATTCATATCAAATGCAACCCAAACGCAGTTATTTATATCGTTAACTCCTAAAAAAGCATTCTAGGGTCTTAACACTAAACGTTTGAGGCCAAAGGACTCAAAGATACGTTTCTCACACTGTGTTATTCTCGAATATTTTATTAAATTTTGCTGGTTCCGCACTTATCGATACTACCAATGTTATACACTTCAACCTTGGCGATGGTGCCCATCTGTGGTCACGAGTAGAAGGCTTAGAATGAGCTATCTTATAATATTTCAAGTGAGCATGTTCAGTCATGTAGCTTTCTCAAGAATGTTCCGTGAATTGTTCGAAGAACATATCTATATAATACTGAATAAAGTTTATTGAAAATTTGTTTCCGACATCAATTGCATTGTTTTTATTTTTGTTTGATATTCTGTAAGTGCGAAGTTACATTTATACACTTGTTAACAAATAAACACGTTTCATTAACAACTTTCCTTCTTAAAGGAAGGGATAGGGAAAGGGTGGGGGTTAACTTGCGAGAGTTCTCGCATGGGTATGCTTGTAAAATAAATATTTTAACAAACGTAGTCTTCACAATAACTTCGAAAATATATAAAATAGTAAAGTGGATTCAGATATATAGTATAACAGGTATTTGGATACTTAGAATAACAAAATGTTCATGTTTCTTAACACTACACGTCAATAGCAAATATTTAATTGCAGGTGGTCTCTCCCTTAGAACTTTGCTCTCGCACGACGTCAGCTGTATCGTAAGCAGTGATGCAATAAATATGAGAAATCGTACGCGCAATATAAAACGAGAATACACAATACCTTAATAAGCCCAATACATACGCAGCAGAAACGTGGACATTAAACCACAAAGAATATTTGAGAGGCAGATAATACGTTAAATATGTAGGCCAATTCAAGTTATTGGTGATGAAAGGAGGATAAGAACTAACCTAGAAGTAGATAACGTTATAGAAGGGGAGTTGATCATCAGATTTATTAAATCTCAAAGACTTAAATGGCTGGGTCATGTTCAAAGGATGCAGGTAAACAGACTCCCAAAGAAGATAATGGGATGGGTGAGGCCAGGTACGAGACAGAGCAAGAAAAAAAGGATCTCGTTGGAGTAATGACGTCGCCAGATTTAAGGGTTCAACTGTTCCACGCGCGCCCGTTTGGATTGGTGCGCAGCGCTGCCGGCGCGCAGGCTGAGGGCGACACTGGGCCGACGGCGGCGCGCGCTGTAGAGAGGCAGTGGAGAGTCCCCCCCCCCCCCCAGGCGTCCACAGCCACGAGGGAGTCGGGCAGTCCGGCCGCAGAGACAACACGGAGTCGCCTAGGCGGCACTCGTGAGACGCAAGCCGTGCCGGCGGGCGCCCGCGACTGACTCTCCGACTGACTCGCGTTGTTTGCTAAGTAAAAATTGCCTAATACAGGTTACTTTTCCTTTTGTAATGCCACTCTAGTGGATGAAGATAAATCAAGAGATCATACCTTAAAAGAAACATCTACTAAAAGTGGTCACGTTAGTACAAGAGGCAACATAGTCCGCAAGATTGATAATTAAACAACCAACGCAAACCAATAATTATTTCAAATTTCCAATGTGAGAAGAAATCGAATGAAAACTACTCGGACACGCCGATGTCAGAGATGTCCATGGTTTCACGCGAACTCCAAAAAATACAAAGACAGAATTTGGATGTCAACTGAAATATAAAAATATTTCCTCATGACGTTCTCATTCTGCGCGCACCGACTCAATTTTCTTACTCAGCGCCTCACTGCTCGCAACTCAAGCCGTGCGAAAGCAAGACTCCGAGGAAGAAGCCGCAGGCCATTCAATATTTGCTGTTCACGTGATGCGTCATTGAGCACCGTTTTTTATATTCATTTAATGTCACAGTCATTTATGGTACGTAATCTGTTGTACTGTATTGTACGTTCTCTACGACTTCTCCAGAATGTGTGCATTGCTGCTGGTCATCAGATACTGAAAGGAGGACGATTTAACATGCCCTTCCAGAATATTATTCTCGCCACGCATTATGTCAAACAAAATGTCTGCAGCAAAAACTCTACTGCAATCTGTTGAACATAATACAGCTATCATTCAACATTCTCGTACCCCAGAAATATCTTGTTCTAATAATAATTCTATTTCAAATGAAACCGGATTAAACCGGGAAACAACTCCCTCAATAATTAATATTACAAATTTGTTCAATTTTACAATTTTGTAAGTAAACCTTTACTATTTATGCTTGTAATACTTGTTTTGTTTACTTTTTATAATTAATGTCATTAAATTTTCAATTAATGACGTAAAAAGTACAATGAATGGGACATGATTTCAAAAAATAAAAGCTTTTCAAATGTAATTATTTAGTAGTTTTAATACATCAATTTCGTAGAGAAAGTATAGTCTTCTACTCGCGTAGAACGGCTATAACTCACTCGTAGAAATTGCGACTCTCACGTCTCTACGTCGCTTGTGTCGTCAACATCAACTCGTGAATAATAGAGATCATTCTACGCTCGTTGAGGAATATACTATTCCGTATTACGAATTTCGTATGCGCGCAGACGTTTGAAGAAACAATTAAGAAACCACCGGCCATGTGAGGGATGTCAATGGTTTCATTACGTACCAAGAATATTGTGGGGGAGCAAAACAGCCGATTTTCACTGAAAACGAAGTGTTTATTTATCATGAATGAATGGATATACATACATGAATGTTCAGAACATTCCGCAGCTGTGACTGGCGGGTTGCAGCTGATTGCTCTGATTGGAATCTATCGTCTCCTACATTACTTCAGTAGTATAGATGAGGTTTGCGACTTTCGCACACTACCAATATGTACAAATGAGGTCACGAAACGAAGGGAATTTCGTGGAGATGTGACGAATTGCACTTTGTCTTTAAAGATATGGAGGATTTGTTGAAATAAATATTCATGTCACATGCATCCAGCAACACTTGGGCAGCAGCGTTGAAATCTATATACTAGTTAAATAACTCGCAAAAAAAGCGTTCTGGAGGTTTAAAACCTGGAATTTTGAGGCCAATGACCTCGTAGAAACGTTCCTGAAACAGAATGAGGTCTTCTTGGTCACTAATTCATTTTTGCTAGTCCGGAGCTTCTCCAAACTACCCCTCCTGTTCATAGCTGTGCATAGTCTACGTCTGTATGTGACATTCAAATAATTACTTATTATTCTATGTGATTGAATTTCACAGGTGTATCCGATAATAAAGTTGAATAAATTTTGCATAGAGTAGGGTTGTTCTTGCACGATCCTGCATTTTCGGTGGACAAACATTAATTTACGTAGCGTTCCCACGATTAAAATATGTTTTCAAATATTTTTGAAACTATCAAGGAAAGCGAAATGCTGACAAGAAAGATTGTATAATTACTTACTAAAAATTTTTAAAGTAAGTTTGGTCAATTATTTTAAGAACATCTGTCCATAGTACCGAATAAAAAGTTATTGAAAATTTATTTGAAACATCAACAGCATAGTATTTATTCTTATTTAATATCCTGTAGGAACATAAGAAGTTACATTATACATTTTTAAACAAATAAACACGTGTTGTTAATAACTTTCCTTCTTAATATAGAAATGGATGGATAGGGAACAGGGTGGGCTTTAACATGCGAAAGTTTTCACACCGGTACGCTAGTATATTTGAAAGCGCGCAGAAACAGAGAGATAACTAAGAAGCCTGTTGTCATGTGAAAGGTGTTAATTATTGCGTTAGATATCCAGTATTTCTACAGAAATAGAAAAAGCATCAAAAATGAAACAGTTCCAATGTTTTCTGAAAAATGCAAATATTTCATTGCGTTATTCTGCCTATTTTCTTCCTCACAATGAATCCTCACAATGAATCCTCAAACGCAGTGTGGCACTGCTTAGGTGACAGCTGGCGTCATGGCATGGCCAATAGCATGGCTTAAAAATAGAAGCCGCTAACCATTTAATATTTGCGATTAATGTGTTGCGTTATGACGCAAACTTATTAAATTCTTGGTGCGTAAAGAACTGTTGAAGTATTGTGTATTCGAATATACCATACAATGTTACTTCTGAATTCTGTGAGAAATATAAACAACGTTCTACAATCGACGTAGCCGTGTGGCGTCGAACGTTGCTCCTCATTTAATCTCGTCAGTCATCGGTAGTCGTAATCAGTCATTGCCTTTCAACCCTTCGGTCAGGGGCTCAGTGCCGTTCGATCCCGGGGTAACCAGGCAGTCGCCCAACCAGGAACTCGCAATGTTTCTAACTGCTTAACCTCCGAGACTTCAGGGAGCATAGTTAAGGTATTCGGCTAGCGACGCTGGCATAATTCTACGATCAGGTTGTGTAAAATATTTGAGAGAGTGTGTAATAGTATGTGTGTTATAAAAGTATTTAATTTCTTGTTCTTTAGGGGTGTTTGTGCTACTTTTGGGAAAACTGTTTTGTGCTGGTTTATTCATCCAAGGTTGGCCAAGGTAGCATTTTGCTACTGCGTATGTAGTGTAAAATCCAATGCAAAAATTGATTTTGTCTGACCCTAACAATAGAATTTCCATTGTTATCGTTGTTTGCGGCTAAACTACAACACACAGACGTACTAAAATATCAGAACCTGATGAACAAAAACTAAAGTCATTCTCAGCACACTATGAGTTATCATAATTAGTCAATAAATTCTATTAGTTTTTTGCTCGAAAACTTGTGAAATCGACCAATTCATTTAATTTGATAAATTACTGTTTCGTTAACTGCAAACATTAAAAAAATCCGGTTTTGTGATCACAATTGCATCATCCATTATCAACGTAAAAGTTTTGTTAGACAAATACTCTTATTTCCAAATCGGACGTACCCTACATGATAAACATTTTCCTTGTTCAAGGAATATTCGTAAGAGAGAAACTCTGAAGAGATGTTCTGACACACTTGCCACCCCTTTTAACTCGCAGCCAATCGGCCGCTACGGGAAAGGAGTACAATAGTACATCAACAAGCATCGTTCGTTATCAAGATATACAAGAACACGTTTCCCTCCATAAAATGTGACATTCAATTTTCAACTGTTTTTGACTGCAAATAAACAAATAAGATCGTGTAAATGAACAAGTTATATTAAACATTCAAATTAACATGTTTTAATATGTTAAAAAGTTTGTTAATAACGTCTTCTCAAAACTAGCTGATTTCAGAACTGTTCCAAACCTCACGATGAGAGTGCCCGGCAAAATTTAATATGATTTACCAGCAATATAAAAATAAATTGATAAGTTGATGCTCAAAAGTCTAGCGATCTATGTATAAGAAAAATAATTTAATTCAGTAAATAGGGTTGTCGCGCCACGTACATACATACATAATGCATACATACATAGTATTGGTAGAAAGGGAGAGAAGAGTATTAAATATGTGTTCCATTCCTCCTCCACCCCTCAGGGAAAATGATGAAAATACTAAAAACCTCGCATTTTTTATTACGTGGAAAACGGCATCAGCAACGAAAATCACGTACCTTCGAGCAATCGGGGTAGAATGAGCACTTGCGTCATGGCGCTGGGAATCTCCTCCTCCGCCCACCGCCTCCTTCGAGCCTCCTTGTTGTCGACCTCTCGATTCTTCTCATATTTTCTGTTGGAGCGAGAGCCAAGAGGTGAGCGTCCATTGTTTTTAAGTTTACCAGCTGAAATGTAATACGTTTCCAAAGGTGCATGGGCCTTTAAATGTGCATACTCTCATGGAAAAAAATGTTGATATATTTAGAAGTTTAAAAACAACTGTCTAGTGACATGCGCATAATGATCACCCAAATTCACTATATTTGTTCAAATCAATAATATTAAGTAGAGATTAGTAGTTACGCAACGAGGCGCGAAGCAGGTGATTCACGCACATGTCGAGTTTGTCGTCCGAGCGAAGCGAGGACAACAAAGAGAGGAGTGCGGGAATCCCCTTACGCCCGGGTTGCGAATACTATGTCTTAACACGCCTTGGGCGAAACGCAGTGCGTCGCGTAAAGCAATATAAATTAAATATCAAATAACTAAAAGTAGCTTACTTTTACAAAAGTATACAATAGTGTTCCGATCCATGTATAAATGGATTCCAGTCAGTGTCGAAATCACTATTGTTTCTAAATAATAAACAAAGACGTCGTCAAGACGAAAGACAATTGCGAATCGGCACAGATGTTTCGCACATGCATCGCAATGTTTCACACACACTGCAAAAAAATTAGCTGTTTCGCACGCGGAAAACAAGCACGAGAAACTGCGTTTCGCGCACTGCAGGACAAAACCATTGATACTTTTTCTAACGACCTTCAAACCCGATCTGAATTCATTGGGCAGTAAGACTAAGTCCGAGAGCTGTAACATGTCTGCGAAAAATGCGTGAAAGTGCGGAGGTAACAGACTAAGGGAACATCGAAGCAAAACACTCTAAGTTCAAATTTGAAAATAGAAAGAAAGTAGATTTTTTGGTACAATGAAATCCTATAAGTAACAAATTGCAAACTTTATTTATGGTCGTTTCAAACTATCCGAAAACTTTAGCATACTTAGACCATCGCTCGCCTTCCCTGTTGCAGTTGGCAATGTCTTCGACTCCACATTCAACGCACAGAAAAGCCAAAAACAGGTTTTAGAAAATAGTTTTATGTAGAATTCCACCATTAACTTGTTTATGCTTTTTTATATATTTTCAACATACTGAATGATGATGTAATGCTTTGAAGCAATTTGGAAAGTTCGATTCTGCGAGTTCGTTTCTTGTGCGTTCCTTTCCAGGGAGGAGAATCTTCAAAGAACGTGGCAAGGAACATTAAGCGAAGGAAAGTATTCTTGGTTTTTCTGGAACAGTACGAGTAGAACCAATGGTTGATAATGCAGAGCTATGCATTTTGCCTTGAAAGTTTTAATGCTCCTCCAGAAGAATTGTGTTTTCGAATTCCAATATATTGTATATATTTAGGTATTCATTATTATTTAGCATTTTCTACTTTATTATATTACCAAATAAACATTTGCTCACTTACAGAGCTAGAGGGTAATTTTTGCACTTGCCATTTTAAACAATTAAAGGCATTGGATTCTCACTTTTCAATGATTGGTGGAAACGTCAATAGTTATACAATTAGTGTTTTTATGACATGATTGTATTCATTATTACAATTTTAGAGTAGTCATTATAATATTTAATTATAGTAATTTAATTTAATTGTAGTGTATAAGATATTTATTTTAAATGTGTCTTATCACAGAATAGATAAATTATTGAAATCAATCTTCATTGAAAAAAATCTAGTTTACATTATAGTGCTCTCTGTTAGAAAATGGCAATACTGGCAATAAACTGCATGGTACATTATTTGGTGCAAACAAAAAGACGGAGTGTCACCACGACCATGACAAGAACCACTTTTATCACATCCATTAAATTAACTCGAAGGGTACAGTGGGCAATCATTTGGGCATAACTCACTTCTTTTTCTCATCATCCATGACTTTTCACTCTTTCTCGGGGCCAGTAGTGCCGACACATATCGATTCTGTAACAAAGTCACATGTTATTTCATTAGGATAGTGTCACACCAATTTTGAGAGAGCAGAGTTTTGAAAATGAGCTCAAAATTGTGCATTTTCAGAAAACCTCAAACGCCATGTTCTGAAAACAGCTCCGAATTTTTTAATAAAAAACTTCATATTCAAAGGAACAGGTTTTACTAAGATATTCTTAAAGTCATATTTTCATTCTACTATTATGGAAACGAAAAATTGAGAAAATGTGGAAAATGTTTTTGATAAATCATATATTACATGAAAGTTAAAAATACGAGTAGTTAAAAATTACGGAAAGTTACGAAAGTTAAAAACTAATACGTGCTGTAACATGTTCTACATAATTTTTTGTAATTTTAAGTAATGTTTTAGAAAATTATTCATGACTTAGTGTGATGTTCACAGGTTATGTCAAAGAAACAGTTCTGCAATGTTACTGCAATGAAAAATAATGGTGTTAAAGTAATGTAATGTAAAGTAATATTCGTAGATTCAATCCAAAATCATCGAAGGCCGCGCACAACGGTCAATTTCAGTGGCGTTTGGTGCCCCAAAATGCTGGAGATTGCACGTCCATTGAATGACAGAAATATATTTTTCAAAAATTAAAAAAAATATTATATATATATATATATATATATTATAATAATTATGTTGCAGCGAGTAAGACGAAGATATAGTTTTGTATTCCCCTGAGACTCCCTACGTCGCGACGCTTCGCGCGCAGCGCTGGACAGCTCCACCAGCTGGTTGAGCAACCAAACCGTCCTATGTCGCCGGTGTTAAATCAAATGGCCAGAGAGTAAATGCAGTAAGCCCAGTAATAGAGCCAAGATCCAAGAACGTGATGCAACAACTGGTCACCAGCAACCAGACACCCGAGAGAGCGCAGTTGGAAATCCTTTGATTTCAAAACAATTTCGTATTCATCGTATTGCTGCAATATCTTGAATATTGAAAGTCATTAAAGAAAATGTATATTCCTAAGAATATTAAGAGATTTATCGATTATTCTGGATGTTGTGCACCCTCATCTCTTTTATATAATTAGAAAGTACTCTGAAAACGTACAATTGACAATCACAAACAACCGTTTTGACGATCGCACAACTTGGTGTTCTCTAAGAAAGGGCAACAGCAAATGCATTTCCCACGAACTTGCCGCCATCTTTCCGTTTTCATTCTAGCCGCGTATTTCAAACCACGCAAATATGGATGCTAATGGAGCAAAATACGCTTATGGAAAAGATGTAGCCCGAATTGCGGTTGAATTCTTTAAATATTCGAAAATTGCGAATATTCAAAAACAAGTTTAGCGTCTGCCTACTAGTACAACATTGAAGATTAATATTTTTTTCGTAATGAAAATCTATTCTTCGAAACTAGATCTTTAAATAAGATCCTGTACACTTTTTCATAATGTGACTATTTTTAACGTAAATTTCCTGAAAGGCAATTTTAAATAAATTTGTTTAAAATCATTATTTGAAATTTATTCTTTAATTTTTTCCTCTGATAGTGTGAAGTACAGTTATAAATAGCGAAGGTCCGATTTTTGTTGAACTCTTTGCATTTTTGTAAATTGCAAACGTTACAAATAGTGTGCGGTAGTATGTGCTGTTACAGAAAGTATTTTATTTGTGTTTCTTGCGCAGTGTGCGCGCTACGTGCGGAATACCATTGTGCTTGGTTTTCTTCTGCAGAATGTTTGCTGCTGCAGGCCACTAGCATCACCTAATATATATTTTATAAATATAAACGAGTTGTGAAAATCCATGTAAAACTACAAATATAGACAAAATAATCTATCCCCATCATCTTGAAAGAGTCGGTTGGTACATGGGTCGCTACTCTCATACACTTCAAATTCCCGCCTTCAAAATTTTGCTAACAAAACAACGCGAATTCTTTCCCAATTTACCAAATACTCATTTTTGTACAAATCTCTTTGAAATCGACTTTCAACTGCTTCGAAAAATTACTAATAGACATTTCGTGGGCAGCCACGACGAAAGATTTGCTCATTGTCAGATTTCCCGGAATCCAATTTTTTCCACATCAGTCGCGACGAGAATTTTTTGAGAATCTGGAGCCGCGAGTAGTGCCGAGAAGCACAGCATTATGCGTATTGAGCGCATTGAAAATTGGTCGCTCATTGGCATCAAGCAATTATCTTGCAGTTTCCTTGAACCAGCGCTCTGAGACGCGGGAGAAAGCAGAAAGCATGCGTGACGCGAAATTCGTAAGAAGAACGTTTATGTTTGTCCAGCAGAGGTAACCATGACAATCTCTTCAATACACATTGATTTTTACAGCAAAGTAATAATTTGTCAATCACTTTTGTTTCCAGAGAACTCTCTGAGAGTGTCTGATGAGCCCAGAAAGCGCTGCTCTGCTAATGCTCTCCCAATGCAACTAAACAATATTTCGCAGCCTCAACAGAGTCCATGTAGCTATCGTTGCTCTTTTTATAACCAAAATAACATTTGAAATCTGTTCGATGCCAGCTTTAAATTATACGAAATTTAATTACCACTTCAAACATGGAACAGGCTAAGCAGGGCCAGAAGCCGCAACAGTGCTGAGTTAATGAGACAATAAAAGTTTTGAAATGTAACTTTTAAGTAACTCACTATGAGTAAACATATTGTAAAATCTAACTGCGATGGATAGTTTAGGTTGATAGTTTTGACAGGCAAAAATAAAATAACACAGATTATATCGTGTCAATGAATATACCGCGGATATTTAGATTCCATTTCAAAAATAATTTTAAAAAATAGTTAAAAGGATAGCAAGGTCTTTAAAAACCGAACCAGAGAAACTTTATTTTTCAGCCGAGGAGGATTAAAATGTTTTATATACTCAACTTTATTTTTAGTAATAAATTAATGAATGCTCGAATGTTGGTTTAAGAAATTATAATAATGTGGGCTTCTCCATTTCTTTTGCTCTTCAAGGTTACTCAATATCAAACCTTAATGATGTACCATCAAAGTGCAGGAATATCAAAGAAAACCTAACAATATTTAATTTTCACATTTCAAAATAAATATGACAAATAATTTAGTTTTCTACTGAAATACTATAAATGCCCTAATGAATCCCTCACAAAAAAGTTAACTTGTTTTCCATTATGTTGTTTGTTTCGCTAAATATGGTACTAGAGTGCACGCACAGGTGGTTAAACTAATTTATTTACATAGGCCGTAATTGGTCAATTTTTCAGGCGATAAAAACCGTAAAATGCAACATAGAGGTACTACGTCCAATTTTTTCAGAAATGGCGATAAAAATTAAAATTAATCATGGCGGGCATTAAACGCGGGTACAAATTTCGCATATTTGAACTCGATTGCACATGTTTTTGCGTCCAGCCACGGACTACTCTTGTCAATCTCTTCATTGACCCAACCCAAGCCTCTGTAAGTAATTTTCCATCCGAAAAAACTATTTGTTCAAGCAACTATTTGAATTTTAAAACGATTTGACGTTCAACACACTTATCTATTATGTCAATGTTGTGATCACATTTTTCAACCACGCAACCAAAAAAGTTGTGCTTAACAACTTTCGAAATTTCAGAGGCTTCAATGAACATCAGATCTATTTCAAATCTTTTAGCGCACTTTGTTGTAAGAGTGTAAGGAATTTAAAGAAAGCATTTGGATCCATTTTGATAAAATGTTAAAAGTGTAAAATACACTTTATTTAATGTTCTACGATCACATCAGCGGATGTTACATCAATGAGTTATGAAACAAATAAGAACAATTTAAACTTCAAATCAATGTCCATCAATATTATACTCGTGATTCAATTACACAGTCTATTTAGGATATCTCGTTAGTTATACATTATTGATTCGAAACAGTGTGTAGATAATATAGAAGTGAATAATAGTTCAGAAATTTCACTAAAATTGTAGTATATGTAGAAACGTTATATTGGCCGTTAGCAAATTTGTTCGAAACATATGCTCAATATATAAAAATTAAAATAATGTGATTTACAATGACATTTGAAAAGGATGATCGAAATTAATGGAAGATGTTGACAAAACAAACAACCAAAATTGCTGTTTGTCTAATGAAAATTAATTACAATTGACAAATTTGTACAACCAGTGCTGATAGAATATACAATATCGATGCTATTATAATCACAAATGGCTTTAGTATGTGTCGCCTTTAGTATTCCACTGATTGAGTACAAGTATTACAAAACAGGATAGGGTACCTGAAATGAAAGTTCATTAGCAAAGTGATTAAAACTATAGACTTCGATTTTCAAAACATATACACGATAGAAAAACGTAAATTTTGATAATGTATAACAGTTCTATATTTCATTGATTGAATGGGAAGACAAGGTGATGTAAATCCTAGAGGAGAGGAAATGAATAAACACAACCATACAAAGAAAAGACGAGAATTTATCTTTGAGAGGGATTGGTGAATTAGTTGGCACTGGACACTGAAGAAAATTATTTGAAAAGCTTTACAAGCGTGGGATACCCTCCGGAAGTTTCATGTTCAACGAACTCTCAAGTTTGGAGTTTATCAAGATAAGGACTCGAAATAGAATTTGCGTCGAGGACGTAGCTTCCTAACAAGTGCCTCCAAATGTTAATTATCTTTCCACAATTGCGATATCCCAGAAGGACTTTGAGAGAACAAATTGAATCACGCTCTGCTACTGCGATAACCAAAGCCTTGAAGAAGATGACGGCTTTTAATGAAAGACAACAAACACTGATTACATTAGAAAATAAATGTGCACTAGGTGTAAATGAATAAAAACCAGAAAAACTGTTAATGAAGTTCTTGGCCAAGTGTGTTGCAATACTAAGTTGTGGAAATATGAGTTCAATGAGTGATTAAATATATTTGATGTTAAGGTTTTTTTAAATTCACGGGTAAATATGTAATTTAATATTCGATATTTGTGTTACTGAATTATTGAGTAATATAAAAGTTTTGTTTAAAAG